ATTTTAAATAATTTATTTTGATCCTTTAAGTCAATGGAGTTTATTATTTATAGGTTCTAAGAACCATGTACATATTTTTTCATCATTTTATTTATGCTAATGATATTTTCTAATCCTCATTTTTAATGTGTAGTGAATTCCGTATTGGTGTTATCGATAAATTTCTTGTAAGTTTACATATGTTTTAAAAATGCAACAAATTTAATGAACCGGGTACTCGTTATTGAAACCGATACCCGCCACTTCCGGTTCCAACATTTTAGGAACCGTTGGTTCCGATACATGATTAATAAGGTAGACACCCCCTACGTCATTCATAAATATAAATAGACCGTGTTAAATTATAATTTTATCAATCAATCAAGAAAGAATTCGATAGGATTTTTTTTCGCGTTTCATGATCTACTCTAAAAAATATATAACCTTAACACTAGCAAGTTTTATTTATGAGGTTAAAATCCATAATTTTTATAGAGTTGAAATCCATAAAGTATCCAAGCAATGTCATCTCAGTAGGCATAAAAACAAATAATATTTTAAAATGAAAACATAAATCTAATCTACTTCTAAAATACTCTATAACTTTATCTATATCTCACAGGCCAATTGACCTATCAATCTAAAAAATAAGAGCCTTTATCTATCTTAATAGGCCAAGACATGTTATAAAAACAAATTACTTACTTTTTAAATTGAATTTTATATTAATTAAGGTTTTTTGTTTGGTACATTCATTTTAATTTAATCTAGACATAAATAACTAAATATATACTTTAAGGATAAATTTACAAAAAAAATCATAATATTGTAGTCAAATTTATAAAAAAGTCTGAAAATAAATTTTGTTTATAGAAAAGCATATAATATCACCTAAAAACATATATAAACTTACAAGAAATTTATCCGACATATAATATGAAAAAGTCTAAAAATTCAAAAAAATCCGTTTTGGCTTGTTTCACAAATTTAGCGGTTATCTTGTCCTTTTTTGTTAGTTTGGGTAAAATATTGGAACCTTTCTAAAAATTACTGTATTTTTAACCAATAACCAAAATGTTGAGACTTTTCTAAAAATTACCATGAAATTAATGGATGTTATTATTAACAAATCATTTATAAACATAACAAATATTTTTTATTAAAAACAAAGAAATAAAATTGTTGTTAATTTCTAGGAATAGAATGTTGGACTAAGTACTCCTCTATTGTTTGTAAATCACTTCAAACTCTCTACGTTCCTCTTCTGCATTGATGTGGTTGTCATGATGAGATGTACTCTGTACGTTTCTCTAGGTAAATACAAGTGTTGAAAATATTTATTATTAATCAAATTACTTAATAAATAATCAATAAGTGTCTAATTGCTATAAAGTGTGACGGATCACATGTTATTAGAAAATATCATTACATAATGATTCTTGAGCATACAGATCTTTTATTATGTTTTTTAACCTACCTAGCACCTAATCTCCATACATTATCTAATAACAACCACCGAATTACAAATATATCGAGAGTGAAAAGTGAACTTTGAGTGACAATCTATATAGATAATCGCCCATCACCTGTTTCTATATAAATTGTCATTTGCGGTTCATTTTTCACACTCGATAGATGTGTGTTAGCCGATGATTGTTACCAGGTGAGGTATGGATGTTGAGTGGTAGTTAGGTTAAAAAACATTAGTGGAACATCCACAAAGTACATCTCACCATGACATTCACAACGATATGAACATAGAGAGTTTGAAGCGATCAACAACTAATAGATTAGTACTTAGTCCTCCATTCTATTTCTAGAAATTAGCAGAAAATGTATTTCATTTGTTTATAATAAAAAATAGTTATTATGGTTATAAATTATTTGTTAATAATAATATCCATTAATTATATATAACATGGATTGACATGGATTGTGGGGAGCCTTACCAACAGTATCTTTTTGTCCTTTCACACTTTTGCCACCAAAATTTTCCAATTTTTTGCCTTTTGATGCTTTATTTTCTCTCTTAACATTTGTGCCCTTATTTTATTTGTCAAATGCTCCTTTAATATGAACGATTTTGACCACCGCCTCCAACGTCCAATTTCACCGCCTCTAACATAAACACTTTCTAATTTCACCGCCTCTAAGGTCCAATAACATTATTACAACTATTTTTAACCACCGCCTAGGTTTATTGTTCCCTTCTTCCAGAAAACCCCAGGCGTTCCCAAACCACAACATCTAATGAACAGCCACCACCACCGTTTACATTTCCCCATTTTTGGTATTTCAATGAGTAACACAAGAAGTGTAACACCTGATTCTTGCTTGTAGAAGAAGAAGAAGCTAGAGGACTCCAGGAGAAGGTTGTAGATCTAGAAGCAACATCTCATCCTCTTCATTTTCTGGTAAGCAAGCCCCAACCTTTCTTAGTAGCTTGTTAGATCTCCTCTTTATCATTTCATGAGGTTTTTGGTCCAAGAAGCTTAGCCCTTGGGATATGGACGCCCCAAGTGATCTACCTTTCAGATCTAGGGTCTAGAAGGGGTTTCATAGCATAAAGGTGCAAACTTTATGATCATGGAAGCCCCATGGAAGCTTTAAGGTGTTATTATGGCCTTTTAAGCCCCGAAAGGCCATGCATGGAAGAAAAGTTAGGAGCTTTTCGTGTTCAAATGATGTTTATGGCCTAGATCTATTTTAGTATGATTTGGTTTGGAGTATTATAGCTTTTGGACCAAGATCTATGTCCTAGAGAACTAGGGTTTTAGCTAAACCCATTAAGAATGACTAATAACGGGTAAAGTTGGAAACTTTACCCTTAAAAGGGCATTTCCAGTATGTGGATGAAGTAAGAAGTTTAGATCTAGAGTGTAGGGGCTTAATCCATTTAAATGGCCCAAACAGACAGGGGAACTCGTCAAGTCCCTAGAGGAACTCGACGAGTAGAGACGAGTTGTCCTGGTACTAGATATGGTAGAACTCGACGAGTCTGAGGATGACTCAACTAGTTGACTCGTTTAATCGTGACTATGAGTAGCTAGGGAACTTGGCGAGTCAGGGGGTGACTCGACGAGTTGGATCGTGATTTCAGGGACTTTGATTTATAGGACTCGGCGAGTTAATAGGTAAACTCGACGAGTTTGGTCAAACCAGAAGTTTGACTTTGAAAGGATGTTGACTTTGACTAGGGGTAGAATGGCCATTTTACCCTAAGAAGGATTATCAGATTTTGACTAAGTGTTATTGCGTCAATGATAGCCGGGGAGTTGTTGGAGCAGCTGTCAGATATTCCTCACCGCGAGATTTCACAGTCAGCTTTACGAGGTGAGTTTCCTTCAGTAGGAATGGGTTTAAGGCACCAATGCCGACCCGTGTAGAGTATGTATGATGGTTAGTAGCTAAGTGTGGGCAGGGCCTGAATCTTAGACTCATTTATGAATAGTAGACTAAGTGTGGGTAGGGTCCTTATCTTAGTATTATTTGAGTATGTTATGAATTGGTAGATTATGGTATACTTGTTGTCTGTGTGATACATGTATGTATGTTTAGATAACGGGGTGTGGGCGGGGGCCCGTATCCTCCAGATAGAGGAGTGTGGGCGAGGCCCGTACCTCCTTGCCAACTAAGTGTGGGCGAGTCCCGTATCTCGTAGATAGCTGAGTGTGGGCGAGGCCCGTATCTTATAGATAGCCGAGTGTGGGCGGGGGCCCGTATCTCCATGAGTGTGGGCGAGGCCCGTATCTCCTAGCTGCATGTATATGCTATGTGTATGGTATGTGGTAGTTTGAGGAGACTCACTAAGCTTCGTGCTTACAGTTTACAGTTTTTGTTTCAGGTACTCCCGGTAGCAAGGGGAAGAGCTCGGGATGACTGCATGACACACACCACAGCTTTTAGCCTGTAATGGTTTACTCTGATATTTTAACATGTGATCTTGATACATTGATAGTTATGATATTTTTGAGATACACTGTTTATGATTTTATATGATGATGATATTTATTGTTTTATTAATGAGGCTTCGTCGGTAAGGTAAGGAAGCAACACAGCTGCAAACGTAGGAGCCATATGTGTCTCATCCTCGCACCGCCTGGCTCAGGTAAGTGCATCTTCTACCTTCTGCTTCTTCTTTTTCTTGCTTCAATTTCATTGTCGATTTGGTGTTTGATTTTTTTAATAATCCATTTGATTTCTGACTTCCTCTTTTGTGTTATTTTTATTTGATGATTTGTTGGTCAAGAATCTACAAGGAAAGGCAGTGATGTTTCCGTTTGTTCCATTGTCCTCATTCGGGTGTGCAACGGAGGTGGTGAGGCCGATGGCAAATGTGACGAAGTTGGTTGGATGTTTAATTTTTCGTGTTTCATCATATGAGCCCTAATTTTTTTTTTATTTTTTATTTTTTTTAATTATTATTTTTTTGTGATTTTGGAATCGTATAGTGCTAATTTATCCCAATTTCAGTTCTTTCAAACACATATGTCATTCTATTGTTCGCAGTCTTTGATGTTTCCCTCTCCGATCCATTTTTCCCATAAGATATATCCCCAAAATCGTCGGTAATGTTCCCTCACCGCCACCGTTCGACGAAACCTCCGTCTTGCTAGAAAGCCCGATTGGCGGTGCCACACCAATTGAGGACACTGATGGTCACCGTATTTCTGTGTGTGCGCCAATTCCGATGCAATTTTGCTTTGCGTCAACCTGTTTTCGCCTTTAATTCTTCCGCTGTTGATTCTCATTTCAAAGATTTGGTTTAGTCGTGTCCTAAATTGTGGATTATTTCCTTAACCATCCTTTTTTTTTTTACTTTCTCTTGATGGTAATCTCTCTTTGTTAGTTCTTGATTTCACATTTCATGTTTTTTCTTATGTGGTGGAAGCGTTCAACCGACCACAACGACTGTCATAGAAGACCATGTTTTTGGGTGTATCTGGAAAGGCAGAAAGAAGAAAAAGCCACATGTTGAAGTCTATAGTGGAAGTAGTGAATTGAAGACAGAAGCAGGTATATTTGTGATTGTAGCTAATGTACGTAATATTATTATATGATTATTCACTATCTTTACAACCCTCTATTGAGTGAAAATGAAAAGATTGTGGAATCTGATAAATACGAAAATGGAGCCTATGCCATGAGGGTACTGACGTATTATGGATCTCTTCTATATTTGTTAGTTTTCCTTTCACTGACATATGTAGTTTATATAAACGATATTTGTTTTTTTAATTATAAAGATTTAAAAGCTGGCGTTAATCCTATTTTTGTGTAATTTTTAAATGTGAGACTGGAGACCATCTTTGTGTACACTATGAGAACTTAAGTGAAGTTGTGTAGGATGCTGAAGATTGGTAAGGTTAGCACCAAATACTTATTTGTCACTACATACTAATAAGATTGGTGAGTTATATTTTTATAGCTTTTGTGTTTGTTAAAGATTTGTTTTATTTTTTTAATGTATTTTGCTTTTCATGTTATATAATTATGAGGTAACGGAATTTTATTTGAGGAAAGATGACTTCTTGATACTAGTCTTCAACCAAATGCATATTCGGTTACACGAGTAATAGGTTATAGAATGGTATTAATACTATATGTGGTTATTATCTTGTTTTTCATTGTTTTTGGGTTTACATGTTAGTTTTCTTTAGATTTTTTTTTTATTTTATTTAATGGAAAATTTTAGGCTATGGAATACCTCTTAAAGTCTGAAGAACAATGGGGTAAAAGTTCAACACGTCAGTTCTATGCGGTTTTATCTGAATTTCAAAAAGCATTACTTTTTTAGAATTCGATCATGAAATGGAATGAAAAAATGTAGTACGACTTACAACTACTCTGATATACCATTGGTTTCATATTTCTTTCAATATCTACTCTAAACATACCATTCCACTTTCATTTTTTTTAAAATATCCGATATTTCATTGCATTTTCATCTTATTTTAAAACCTACCGCAACTATGATTGGACTTTCACTTATCAAAAAACTACCTTCATGTGGCATTGCATTTTTTTTATCCTTTTTCAAACTTTACGTGAGATAGGAACTTTCATTTCTGTAACAACTGCTGTGATATACCGTTACATTTTAGTGTTTTGTCAAAATGTATCCAACCATAGAATTGCCTTTCATTTTAACCTACACTGTGATATGTTAATTTGTAGCTGGACAGAAAACATTTCATATGTAACAACCAAAAAAATTTGTACAATTGTAGCATGGTACTTTTGAAAAATATACTCACAACAATGTAAATTACTTTCTAATTGAATTGCGTTGTTGAATGTTGTGAGCTTGGGTCTAATTGAATGACATTGTTGTAATGTTGTGAGCTTGGGGATAAATGTAGGAACTAGTAATGTACTTTCCATATAATTGTTCTTGGGCCTGTTGGATGTATAGAGTTTTGTTTGACGGTTATATGCATTTCTACGATCTAGTGACGATTATTGTCCCTCCTAACAAGCTACCACCTACAATAAATCATGTTGTTTTGATATCATTGTTTACAAAGAAAAACCATCTAACCCCCGCAACGTGGGGGATACATCCCTAGTTCATAGTAATTTTCAGAAAATATTTTGTTATTTGTTCAAAATTAGGTAATTTTAAAAAAAAATCTCAATATTTTGATCAAACTAACAAAAAAAGGACAGAATACAAACTAAGAATACAAACTAAATATACGAATCTGGTCAAAATAGGTTTTTTCGAATGTATGAATAAAATTTAATTTGAGATTTTTTTAAAAAATTAATCTAAAATAGTAAGACCTTTCCTACTTTAAATGTATAAAATACAAATACTTTTTTTCGAATGTATGAATAGTAGTTGTTAGTTTGTACTTTTCATTTGGACTAATGACATAAAAGCCTTTAAGTTTTCGAAAAATTATTGGTTTTACCCTTTGCTTCGTTAAAGCCGTATATTTCTTTTAATTTTTGCATTTTAGCCCTTTTAAGGGGTTACCCGGTGGCTTGAGCAGGTGGGAACGCCATGTCAGCAATGACTTGACTGTGTATATTTTGTTGAATTGGCACTAGGTTGGCGTTCGGTTGTTATTGCTTAAAAAGAAACGGAATAAACCTAAGAACATTCGGCGAGGGCATTCGAACTCTGGCCAAAAGGCTTATAAATGCAGCTTACCACTAGTATGAAAAGCCTTTATTTATTAAAGTCTAACTTTCTTAGTATAATGTATAATAACGATCATTATTATTTTATGTTCTTATTATTTTTTGGTAATGTAATTATTATTATTATTTAATATTATTATTATTATTATTTATTTATTTATTTATTTTTATTATATATTTTTATGAATGTATACATATATTTTTAAATATGTTTTCAATATATATAAATATTTTTTAAATCATATGTATATTTTTAAAAACATTTTGACATATAAGATGGATTAGTACATCAAAAATTGTACTTATTTGTATTTAATATGTATAAATACATTTTTAAATGTATAATATGTTTTTCACGATATCTACTATAATAAATGAAGATCCATTTGCCACATGTCAATTTCTCATAAGATTTAACACTTGTCATTTTGTGGTATTTATAAAATAAATAATATTCATATGTCAATTTTTAGGGTTTTTCAAATTTTAAAATTAAAAAATCACATAATATTTATACTTATATATGTAAAGTGATAAATATAATAAATGTGGTAATAATTTTGCAATAAATATATTTCTTCCTTTCTTATTCTGAAATTTTATTTTAAAAAATATTTAATATTTATATTTTGGTATTTAATTTCTTTTTAATTAATCCGTGGAATATACGGGACTCACACCTAATACATATATATTTTCAAAGCATGTAGTACAATCATATTTGTTCAGTTATTTAATTTTGTTTTTATCCTAATAAAAAACAATTCTAGCTTCATCCCTGATTTGAAGAAAATTTATATAAATGTTGTTTATAAAATAAAAGGGATAGTTTTGTGACATCTTTACGTATGGTGTTCTCTTTTCCTAATCTTTCCGTTTGTGAAACTTCATAATTAATTGTTGAATAGGAAAGATAATGTTATCTGGACCACTTTCACTTCACATGCTAGCTTGTGGATTAGATAGCTAACCAAAGTGTTGGAAACTAGTCTCTATATTTCCCCATTTTCAACCCTCATAAATACTCGTAATCAATATTACTAAATCTTTGATATCGCGTAATCAATAATATTACTAATCTTTGATATCGTTTGCATTACGAAACATATACGATAATAGGATATATGTATATGTGAACACGGATGCAAACATATTGAGCTTGAAAATAATTGTAGGACATATAGAAGACATTGAGCTTGAAAATAATTGTACCATATATAGACAAAAGTTAAAATCAAGAAATTTTCATACATATCAAAATAAATACCTATCTATAAAATACTTTGTTGACATAAAAACACATTTTATTTATTTATATTTAAAGAAAACACTTAAATACATATTAAAACATTACATTATTTTACAAAAAGAAATAAACGCATCAAGATGTTTCTTTTTTTCTTCAAAACATCCTAAAAACTCATCTATAGAACCAATAAGAGCATTGTCACTACAGTTTTGTTTATAATTAAATATTATTCTCAATCTCATGACATCAGAAGAATGTGTTTTATCCTTTATTGTTTTAAGTTGTTCTATTTTGCTTTGTTTGTCGGATTGAAGTTAAGCTCAGCTATCCATCATCAACCTGGTGTTACTAAAAGACAGAGGGAGGTAGGAAGAGGGATGTCAAACAAAGATGAAGATTGTATAGTAACGGGTAGAATTAATGGATTTAAAGGACTTGTAAGAACAATTGATGTCTGATTTTTTTATATAAAAATTATCAAGTTTTAAATTATAAAGCATAATCTATCGCAACTAAACCAACACACATAACAAGAAGTGTACTTGATTATGTAGCCGTATAGTTTTAGTAAGACTAAGTGTCGATCTCATGTAGAATAAGATTTAGTTTAGAGAATTCAAATGCTAATTAAACTATAAACAATAAATTTAAAGAGAAGGGTTTGTTTAAATGCAATTAAAACTAATTAAAAGAAAACAAAATTAGAGAATAAATTTAGAGACAAAAGAGATCAAGACGTTTTCACATAGATTCGATTTCACCTTCAAATATGGTGAACTCAAATTAAGTGCAATGAATATTATTTATTGTTTACCGATTTCTAACGTAATTAGTTATGTTGGTCAGATTAACTAGTTTGCATAATTATCAAGACAATTAATATAATGATCATGCAATTAACTATCTAAACAATTATAATTAAGTTTCGTATTATAAGAGATTTGATCTAGTAATTTCCAATCAATGGTATTGACAATAAATCTAGGCATAAGTTGTAACAACTCGTTATTTCAAGTCAATGTAAGTCAAACTTATTCAAATAAAAGTCTAAACTACAACCGTATACAAGTGAATCCATATCATAACATTAATACAATAAGAACTTGAATGCCTTAAGGGCATGTTTATATAAGTTATTGTATGAGCATACTTTGATAATCATACTTATATAAGTTATATATACTTGTATATTGAAAACCATGCACATATATGTTTATATAGGTTGATATGTTTATATATACTAAATACTATGGTGAAATAAGATGATATGAGTCAACATAAGTCAAAAGGTGAAGTTAAAATCCAAATTTAACACCTTACATATGAGATTTCGGTCTTGGGAATCTAGGATCAAAGGTGTTTTCGGTTTTAAGCATCTTGGACCAAATAGTGTTTTCGGTTTTGAGCATCTTGGAACAAGTTGTGTTTTCGGTTTTGTATCCTCCACTAAGACCGAAATCAATCATTTGTGGGACAACCAAGGTGATTTCGGTCATGATAGGACCGAAATCAACCTTATATTGGCCGAAATCCCCTTTAATATCTAGATATTTTACTTGATTAAGTTTCCAAAGTGATAACATACACATTCCAACGTAAACATCCAGCATATTTTATCCCTAT